AAGCGGCAGGAATGGAAGATCCCGTAGAAATGAGGGGTCAAGAGGAGGTCAGTCTAAAGCCCTAATCAAATGCCCTTTGTGTGTAGATGTAAGATCTGCAGTGTAAAAAATGACCTGCACACTTCTCCAACACACATCTAAACATCTCAGGTGCTCGCTGAGGTCAGTCTTCAGCACAGGTCCACTTATTTACAGTTACCGATTATACATTGTGGAATAATTAAATGTTTTTGAAAGAACTCTTACTTAAGTTAGAGTAACTTAACTTTTATTACACTCTAATAAATGCTCGGAGTAGTTTCAACCCAAATTTGGGTCAAATATGAACAAACCCAGCCGTTGGCTTACACTTTTTTATTTAATTTTTAACCCATTTTTTGGGTTTGTTCATGTTTAACCCAAAGTTGGGTTAAAACAACCCAGCGTTTTTAGAGTGTATGCTTACCAAGACTGTATTTGATCAAAAGTGCACTAATATTATTACAATATAAAATAACGCTTTTTTCTATTTAAATATATTTTAAAACATAATTTATTCCTGTGATCAAAGCTGAATTTTCGTGATCTTACAGAAATCATTCTAATATGCTGATTTGCTGCTCAAGAAACATTTCTGATTATTATCAATGTTAAAAACTGTTTTTTGTGTAAACTACACTACCATTCAATTGTAAAATATAAAAATAATAATAATAATAATATACTTTTATTCAGCAAGGATGCATTAAATTGATCAAAAGTGACAGTAAAGACATTATAATGTTACAAAAGATTTCTATGCTGTTCTTTAGAACATTATTCATCAGAGAATCCTGAAAAAAATGATTCACGGTTTAAAAAAAATATTATGCAACAAAAACATTGATGATAATAATAAGGAATCATTATTAATAATTGAGCAGCAGAACAGCAAATCATCATATTAGAGTGATTTCTGAAGGATCATGTGACACTGAAGACTGGAGTAATGATGATGATATTCAGCTTTGATCACATTATTATTTTAAATTGTAACTAAGCCTCTAAAGTGTACAGACTTCTGCTGTGAGCAGAAAAGACTTCTTTTAAAACATTTAAAAAACGTAATTATTCCAAACTTTTGACTGTTGGTGTATAGCAAAGTAGAACAATAATTCTGTTGCAAACGGCAATACAAATTAGTAGGCTACTTTGAATAAGCAGGACCTTTTTTTGAGGATCAAATAAAAAAAATGAAGCGTGCAGCGGCGTAACGCAGATTGAGTTGACAGGAGATAAAAAGCAAAGCCCATGGCACGAGTCGTCCCACACCTCCAGCAAATCCCCACACACTCCTCTCCTGGAACGCTCCTGATTAACATAATCAGACGCATTAATTATTCAGGAGGTGTGTGAGCCGCTCCAGGGGTCAGGCTTTTGCTCCGTCTAATAAGCCATGTTTAATATTAACGAGGCAGACAGGCGGTGTGATTTGCATACTCTTTATGATGCCTGCTGGCTGCAGAGATGCTTGCGTTGGGTTTCACCTCATGCGTTCCCTTGCTTTATATCAGCTCTCCCTTTTTATCGTCCACCTGACAAAGCCCAATCCTGAACACCATTATACACAAGTTGCATGCTTTTTGAAGCCTTTGGTGTCTTTTAACCTCAGACACATTTTACCTTCATTTCCTTAATGCACAATGCTGATATGTATAGCTCACGGCTAGAGGGAAAAATGCCTGGTTTTTGTTTACTTTTAATGGTGTCACAAGCAGCATGGTGAACACTAATGAGCAGATACTGTCCTCAGGCTGTGTGTGTGTGTGTGTGTGTGGCATCTCTATTCCACAGAGACTTTCTGTAGCCACAGGGGTGGTCAGATAATATGCTAATAATATAGTTATTTTGACTCTACAGAAGGTGATCCGACCATTAGTGACATGTTGGCGACTAAAGTAGCGATGCTACACTGCAAACAAAGAATTATATAGTTTATTATTTTTGTCTCGTTGTCCAATAAATATATAAAACCTTACAACAACACACATTAACTTGAGAATGCTTTAACTTTAACCTGAAAAAATGCATTAACTTTATTCAATGGGGAAAACACATTTTTGTTTTGTTAGCTTATAGGCTAGTTAAGAGTAGCTTATAGTTTAATGTTAGATATAGCGTTTGTATATTCCTTAATGTGGCTTTTTTCGGAGTCAACTGCGATATTCAACTTGAAAAACGACTTGGTTTTTATATGCAGGGAATTGATTCGACGTGTCTCAATACGACAGGAGATTTGTAACCGTTCAGGAAAGTTGTGCCAGAGACAGAGTAAGTTATGACTTTTGATTAAATGTTACAAAGACAGCTTTTTTTCCCCGCTTCAGAATAATGTGCAGTGCTGAGGAGGACTCAATTTTGTCATGACTGTATGTTGACTTGCAAGCTGTGGTTTCCAACGCTCCTGTAGTAAATGTAGATCACATGTTTCCTCCACCAGCAGAAGGTTATTTAGATGCGTGTCAAAACTGACTCATTATTTTGAGAGGGCAACAACTTGTGCTGAATACACATCACAGAGAAACAAATCTTTCACCCTAAATAGGCTATTGAATTGCAATTAGGCTGCGTACAGAATCATACGCCGTGGACGTTTCATCCATGGCCAGATCCAGCCTCCTGTGCTGTTTTGATCTTCATAAGGAATATTTCATAGAAACTTCTCATTAATGCATTGGACACGAGCCTGACCTCTCAGCCCTTTAACTGACAGTGGAGGGTAAATAAATAATTAAAGGGCATTTTGCCACTGTCAGTGAGATTGCATATTGCACCGTTGACATTTTGAAAACAAATCTCGGATTCATGAGCTATCACTGTGAGGGATCGGCAGAGGCTATTAGTTCGACTGACAGAAATAGACGTGAGATCATGAAATATCGTCCTGTAATCTCACTGATTTATGAGGGTGTGTTGCCGTTTCATCGAGAACCACCACAGATTTATTGCCACTCAGGTGGAATTATTAATGAAGCTCGGTTTGCCAAAGCTGACGATGCCGTCTCTCTCTCTGTGTGTGTGTGTGTGTGTGTGGTTTATATAAAGATGTTAACCAATCAAACAAATCAACTCAACACAAGCTTTTCAAATGCTTAAGTCTTTCTTTAACCCCTTTGCGCTTCATTTGTAGAGGTTTTGCAAGCATTATTGTTACTATTAGGACAGTTTTATTGATTTTGTCACATTCCTGCTCATCCCGCACAAACCCAATACAAACTTTGCAGCATAAATTCTATTTCTGAATGAAATCACATTGCTAGTTGGGGAGATGTCTAGGCTGCTATTTTAACTTTTCCTAGGCACTTCTGTCTGGCAGATGATATAATCGGCAAAAAAAAAGTGTGTCCCAACTTATGTCTGATAAAGACATGTTGAAAAGCAGAAGTGTTTTTGGCTGTAGTGTCTCATTGAGTCTGAAGGTAATTGCTAACAGACTACAGCATGCAAAGTGAAATACATATGAACATTGAACACAGACAATATCATTCATAATGCTTCAACAAGACAGAAAAGCTCTCGGACAGTCAGACACTGATGCACTAACTTACCCATTAAACACGAATGGGGAAAACACTAAAAATGGGCGTCCAGTTAGTGCATGAGTTTATATCATATCAGACTAAGAATCTCAATTCAAAATGTTTATTGAAACACTTGTTTGGCCAGAAATACAAGTATTTCCTTTATCAAAAACTAATAATATTACATGAATTTTTCTTCATAGAGAGTTGCTCAGTGTAAATTCTGTTAATACATTAGAACATATATATTTTTTTAAATATTACAACCTTTTTAAAAGACATTGCAAATTAAAAACTACCCAAAGAGTAGCAAAAAAGTAAAGCAAACTTAAAAAGATTCAGTATATTCTGTCAAATGGAGTAAGGAAAAAAAAACATTCAAAAATGCTTTTTTATCAATTATGTCTTGTCGCTTAAATGGCATTATCAAATACAAATCTGGTTTGCATGATCTGTCAACCGTAGCTCTACACTCTTATAAATAAAAGTTCTTCGATGGTTCCGTTACTTTGACATCCATGGGTTCTTCTTTATAGTGGGAAAAGGTTCTTTAGAATTTGAAAACGTTCTTCACACTAAGAAAAACTTGACTGAAAGGTTCTTTGTGGAACCGAAAATGGTTCTTCTATCTGGCATCACTGTAAAAAAAAAATTAAAAATAAACTTTTGAAAGCTTTATTTTTAAGAGTGCAAGAATTTATATTTTGAGAAATGTTTCAGATGCAAACTGTTACTGATAGCAGAGCTGAACAGAAGATTTCAGAAGTCAATTTTCCATGCATTTTCTCCATAGACATTTCAAAACATTGTTCAACGAGGAGTTGTGAGCCAACCTGGACCTGAAAGAAACCAATCAGCTCCACAGATACAGATACAGTATACATCTTCTCTATGAACATTATCAGAGGTATTTAACTTCTGGAAGCCTACAGCTTTGCTCTTTCGATGTAGTGATCTTGGTACATTGTACCTGAATATAAATAGCTGAAATATGCACGACTGCAGTGTTGATGTCAATTATTGTCATAATTTGTTAAAACTAAGATGTCATTGACCTTTATTATTATGAATAACATTAATGCTCAAGTTATATCATTAAAAATACAGTTTAAAAAAAATCAGTTTCTCCATGTTGGTGATCTGTAAGAGAAAAATCACACTTAAGAACGAACACACTGTACTGTGCAAGAAGACAGTGATACAAGTCAATTTAAATCATGATCTATTTTTAAACCTATTCAAAGATGTTCACAGAGATTATGACGAAAGCATCCCTTGTTTCCACAATCGTACATGTTGGCCATGTTTATTGAGGCATCACCAGTTTTGGAAAGAAAGCAGCTGGTACCATCAATCCTGTTCTTTTAGTCAAAGTACGGTACTGAAGAACCAGAGCGGTTTCACGTCTGTGTTTCATTTCCGTGTTCTCGCTGGAGATGTTGTAGAGTTGTGTAGGTTGTTCTCAGACGGGTCAGTTAGAGGTGTCCGAGTGAACGCTGTTTGCTCCCTCTATAGGAGACGTCACAGAAGACGGAGTGACCGCATCATGCCAGCCACCGTTACCCTGGGAAGAGACACACAAGAGACTATTCAAGAGGTGTAATTAAAGCCAGAATGGAAACATTAGCCGGTATTGATTTTTGAGAGGAAGATCAGATAAAACGCTCTGTTTGTATCCATTTTGTCTAAACTGTTGTTCCAGTTTAAACCAGCCTAACAGGCTGGTCTATTCATATGGTTTTAGAAGACACTTAGAAGTAAGTCGAGTAATGTAATCAGATTACTTATTTGAAGTAACTATTAAAGTAATGCATAACTCTAAAAATGTAAACAAAACATCTTTTTCAAATAGGTATCGCAAGTTTCCCCATGTATTGACAGCTCTCCTGTTCCCATGTTGAGAGAGATGGTAAGTGCAGAGGCGCTGTGTGAACATGATGCTAATGTAGTTCTAGACTAAATGTGAGCATTTACTCGTCTCACTTGGACAGATTCAGTATTCCTCAGAATGAATAGAAACAGTGAAATGCAAAGTCAGAATATTACACAAACATGCAATAATTAAATGCATGTGTTTTGTTGTTGTTAAAAACAAACCAGCAAGACCCGCCCAGATGAACAAAAAGTAACACAAAAATACTGTAAGCATTACTTTCCATTAATAGTAACTAGTTACTTTCTAGAAAGTAAGGGAATATTGTAACAGATTACTTTTAAAAGTAACTTTTCACAACACTGCTTAGGAAAGCATCTTAAACCAGGCGAGACCAGAAGACTTCTAGACTTACTTGTGGAAATAAATTAGATGCATATTGTTTGATTTAATTAATTGAGTGATTTAATTGAATTCTTAAGCTAAGTATAAACATTCAGGTCAATATTTATGTTCTTTTTTGTCATGTTTAGTCAATCTAACTCAACATTTGTCGTAATTATCTAGGCTGGAAAGAGTCAACTTCAACACTAGCTAGATTCTACATTGAAAAATTCCTATTCTTGTTTTGTGGGTCATTTTTTGGTCTAATTTTAAGATGTTTTTATTAGGGCCCAAGCCCAAAGGGCGAAGGCCCTATTGTTTTCCTTAGGATTATTTATTATTATTATTATTATTATTATTATTATTATTATTATTAGGGCCCAAGCCTTGAAAAGGCGAAGGCCCTATTGTTTTCCTTAGGATTATTATTTTTTTTTTTCTCCTCTTTTATTTTTCTTACGACTATTCGGGCACTTTTGGGGCTCTTAACGTGCACGAAAACTCTTGAAACTTTGCACGCGGGTCAGAACCCGCGGCCATCAGGGTCGGGGTGAAGATGGTACCCGGGCGTGGCAGGGGGGCTCGACAGCGCCCCCTGGAACGGGGTCCGAAAACTTGGTCCATAAATCAAACACGCTTGTATGTAAGAATATGAAACTCGGTACACATATAGATCTCATCGGTTCATATATACTTCATGCTCTTACTTTTTACCCCAGCCCAACAGGAAGTCGGCTATTTAGGGTTGTTTGTAAAACGCATGCAATGGAATTTAAAGTACTTCTCCTAGAAAATTCAAAGAAATGCCACGAAACTCGGTCAGCATGAAGTCAAGACATTGAGGATGAAAAATTGCGAGGGGATTTTTGATATCTCGAACGGTTCGGCCGTGGCGAGGAAACGAAATTATGGCGAGAAACGTGAAACAGGAAGTGTGTTATAACTTCAGCATACATTAACTGATCTTGATGAAACTTCAACAGTGTGTTCGCTGTAAGAGGCCGATCACATGGATGTGACTATTGTGAGTCAAAGTTATAGCGCCACCAACTGGCAGCAGGAAGTGTGTCACTTTCAAAATGCTTCGAAATCACCCTCTTATTTTAACCCAATTTGCTTCAAACTTCATCTGTATAATGTAAACATACGCCAGATGTAGACCTGTGAATGGATTCTTGATATCTTTGATTCTGTTGCCGTGGCAACACATCAAACTTTAAAATTCTTTTTTGATGCTTTTGAGACTCTTAGCATGCTTGAAATTGCATGAAACTCGACAGACATGTCACATATATTAGCCAGTAGACATGTGCAAAGTTTCAGAAACGGGCGTGGTGCAGGGACTCAGTAGCGCCACCTTTTGACAAAAGTGAGAGGGTTAGTTTCATAGTTTTACCTGCAATCTTAAAACTCGGTAGGCATATTGTTCAGATCAAGCCGGACAACTTTCTAATTTACAGATTTTGGTTCCGAACAACAGGAAGTCAGATATTTTGGTTTGAATGGGATGTTTTGGAGTAATCTCTGTCCCTCTCTCCCTCTCTCTGCATACCTCTGTGTCTGTGGGGGAGGGGGATGTGTCTGTTTGAGTGACAAAGCTTTTAATTATTGTTGATCAAGGTTTCGGGGGCTTTTGGGGCCCTTAACATCCTCTAAAACTCTTGAAACTTTGCACACGGGTCAGAACCCGTGGCCATCAGGGCCGGACTGAAGCTGGTACCCGGGCGTGGCAGGGCGGACCGACAGCGCCCCCTGGACTGGGATTCGAACACTTGTCCATAAATCAAAGACACTTGCATGTAATAATATGAAACTCAGTACACTTATAGATCTCATTGGGTTGAACAACTTTCGTGCTCTAAGTTTTACGACATCCCAACAGGAAGCCGGCTATCATGGTTTGTTTGGAAACGCATACCCCTGAAATTCTATTTAATTCTCCTTGGGAATTGATCGGATTTCAAGCAAACTCGGTCAGCATGACGTCAAGACATTGATGATGCTAAATTCCGGAGGGATTTTTGATATCTCGAACGGTTTGGCCGTGGTGAGGAAATTAATTTTATGACTAAAAAAGGACACATAAAGTGTGTTATAACTTTGCTCGTTTTACCTACAGTTACAAAACTTGCCACGCATATTGTTCTCATCAAGCCAATCGACTTTCTAATTTAAAGTCATTAGCTCAGAGCAACAGAAAGTCAGATATTGTAGTTTGAATAGATTTCTTGTCCCCCTGCCATTCTGTTTGTGTGTGTCTGTGTGGGGAGGGGGGAGGGGGGGGGGGCTCTTTGAGTGATAGTTTAGTTTAAACACCAACTCATACATAGGGCTATACTGCCCTCTTGTGTTCAAAATTATATACATATTTAGTATGTGACTGAGGATCGAGAGCTTTTAAATACGGACGTCCACATTGATAATGGTGGCGCTTGCAGAGCGGTCGAATGAATAAATTAACTAAACGTTCGCTCAGCTCTGCTCGCTCGTCGCCATGGACGCGCACCGTTATGAATGCCAGTGCAGCCGCATACTTTTTAGTGTCACTTTAAAATTAGTGCAATATTGGAGGCCGATTGCTTGAATTGTGAGTTCAATAGTCTATTATTTTTCACGGAAAACACAACAACAAAAGAGTACAATGACAGATTCGCTTAAATAGGCGCTTTTACATAAAATAGCCTATTCCGTCATCATCTTTTCAGTCAGCTCTTCACTCTCGTGATTAATGAAATTTGACTCCTGTTGCTGATATTTGCTGCAACTTTCGTTCAGCTCACAATTTAGTAAGCAAACACGTTTCAAATGTGTTTTTATTTTATTTTTGCGTATATATATGTGTGTGTATAATATATATATATATAGGCCCTATATACATATATATATATATATATATATATATATATATATAGCTTATGTTTCAAATATGAGTTAATTAACAATCGTTTGAAAGAATGATACTTTTAAACATATCACTAAACCGTCATTAGGTGTCGCCAGGCGACCGTCTTAATGAGCGAGTCATTGATTCATTTGTTCGAACGATTCGTTTGAACGGCTGAGTCATTCATGAATGAGACAGATTATGGATTGGTCATTGAATCTTTCAGTCAACCGATTCGTTCAAAATGCTGAATCATTCAGTAATGAGAAAACACGTTGCTGTGAGATGCGCAATGGTTCTGCTGTGATCTTTGTTTAACTAGTTTCACTGCTGAAACAGAAAAAAGTCAATATTGCATATAAAATGTAAGTGATTTGACGTGTGTGTGAGAGAGATTGTGTCTGTTACAGTGACAAGAGTTTAACCCTTGTTAAACTTTAGACCTTGTCTTTTTGGATATATATCTTTTTATATTAAAAAATAGTCATACAACCCATATATTTTAAATGTATTGTTTGCTTTAAATTACATTAAGATTGTATGTTTGGTAATCGAACCTAAATGAATTTTACATGAATGTGCTATATTTCAGATCATATATTTGTTTTCCTTAAAATTTGAACTAACACTAACTTTATTCTCATCTGAATGATAGATTATTTATTTCTGTATAAAATAAAAACACCTTTGATTTTTCTTTTTTAATCAATGTAGAATGTGTAACTGAAAAAATAAACAGATTAGGGCTATGTTTGATGACAAGAAATACAATGTTGTGTTTTATTGCGATTGTACACAAATATAAGTAAACAGTTTGCAGTTTGAATAATGTCCTGTATGAACAAAAGGACGGAGTATGTTTTTATGTCTACATTGTTCAATCACGTCTCTCACACACACACACACACACACACACACACACACACACACACACACACACACACACACACACACACACAAACAATTTTTTCTAATCAGATCAGGCAAGTAATATTCTGTCTTGGCACACTTCATATAACTTTCAATCTTGTGTACTTATTTCATGTGTCCATTAAGTCCAGGAGACCGTAGGGTGTCTCATTTTTCATTTTAGGATTCAGAAGTTTGCTCACGCATATGATATGTGCCCTCAATGCACACTTTTGCAGAGCCCACACCAATGCAAGCTCTACAGCACACATCTTCTCAACAGTCAAAGCGGGGTTAAGTTATTACCCGTCATGCACAGTAACCCTTAAGGCACCAGGGTGGCGGTGCCACCGGCTTGTTTATATATATATATATATATATATATATATATATATATATATATATATATATATATATATAAATATAGCTGCGAGCAGCGATGAAGGGCCAAAGCCGGCGGCACCGCCACTCCGGTGCCTTTAGGTTACTAAAGGCACCGGGGTTGCGGTGCCAC